TGCTAGATGCAATCGTCAGGCCACGAGTGACCTGACGATTGCATCTAGCATGAAACACCATAAATTTTATAAGGCTGCGTCCATATATAGTTTGTAAATTTTCAACAAATTATAAATTTTATAAGGCTTTGTCCATATACAGTTAGTAAATTTTCAGCATATTATAAATTTTATAAGGCTGCGTCCATATATAGTTTGTAAATTTTCGGCAAATTATTAATTTTATATGGCTGTGCTATGAAGCTTTCACTGATCACTCGAATGTAATTGTTTCTATGGCGCTTTTGACGCAAATACGACATTCTGTCACTTTACGATTGTACATTTTCTTTTTGATAATTTCATTTTGTAATACGCTGGATATTCCAGTGGTCTTTGAAACAAAGGTTTTGCTCAACAAATTTGTGTAGTGTTTTAATAGACTTCTCTCCTTTTCCCTGTGATAGTGTTTCATCATCACTTTGATCGTCTACTATTGATTCATTACTACTGGAACTATCACTATTAACTCTATCTTAAATACTGCCTTCGTTATGAAAAGGCTTCATATTTATGTCAATGCAAAAGTTCAGATTTGAAGATGAGTCCGAATTCGAGGAAGTTCAATTCGAGAATGTCGAGATTATGCTATATTCGGATTTGAGGAGTTCTAATGTACTTTCTTTTGTATATTTTTGTATATTTTTGTATATTTCTTATGTACAAATAAAAAAAAATGAATGATAATTACTGCGCAATTCTCTTTTTATTTTGAAAAGAATTATTATTTTTGGTCACATATAATTTCCTTTTTTTTTCATTAACTTTATTCTTCAAAAAATAAAATACAATTACATTTTATTCAATTATATTTTCACCATTACTTGCAATAGCATGTTACCAATTAACAGGTAGCTCCTCGTTGCCCTTTGAGAAAAATGCCTCAATTTTTAATGCAGAAAAAGTTCTAACGAATTCTTGGGCAATGTCTAACCTTCATATCCGCAAAACGGTTTGTCAAAAGAACGGGTTTTCCGTTGACACCACTATTATTTTAAACTACCGATCACCGGTTTACACGATTATAAACATTTGTGAACCAGATACGATGCGGTAATTATTATTTGCCATTTTGTAAAGAAATAAGTTTGAAAAGTAATCATTTTATTAAAAAATTTATCAAAACATACAAAATTTTCAACGAATTGTGTTCTTTGGAGCGGTTAGCAAAACATCAGCGAATTGTGAATTGATTAGAACTTTATAAAATGGTAAATAATAAAAAAAATCCATTATAATTGGTTCAAATATTTTTAGTAAATTTAGTAAATATTTTTAGTAAATTTTAGTAATTTAGTAAATTTTTATAAATTTATGAATAAAAAAGTTGTGTTGTTCATATTTTGTTGTGGATTCCGAGATGAAATCCGGTCTCCAATGAATGACAAACGCAGGAATGAAATATAACAAATAAATGTATTTACACAATAATACAATTAGTAATACGGTTAGTAGATCCAGAACCGCGGTTAGTAGCAATAATAATATATATACAGTCTGGTACATTAGTCTCGAAGTAAGACTTCCTTAGAGTCTACGTGCTTGTAACTGTGACTTCTACAAGCGGTTACCTCACACTATTACTCTACCCCCAACTCAATCACAATCACTGTCTCTGCTCTGACTGACCCTGGGTATTTAACGGTAGCAGTCCAAGTACACACTGGTAGAGTCCACTTGTATGAAAAAGGGGTGAACCCCATAACATATTTATTTCTTTATAAATTGGTAAATGATAAACATTGCATTGTATTGGGTGGTTTACATTTTTGGAAAGTTGTAAATATAAAATTTATTCTTGTAAATAAACAATTTAATCAGTGTTTAATATTTCTGTCGTAAATTCTCAAAGAACAAAGAAAACGTATAACTTCACATTCATATTTTGGGTTTTCAGAAAAAAATTCTAATCATCGCTCTTTAAAACAATAAACATTGCCGAGGGTGTGAAGTTAGTACAAATAATAGCGGTGTCAAGGAAAAAAGCATCTTTTTGACACACATCGTTTTATTTCGGGAAACGAAGGTTAAATTTTGCCAACTCTTGAATCTGTTTTTTTTTTTTTTTTTTTTCATCAAAGTATTTTGCAGCAATCAAAAAATGTAATAATCTGTTGGCGAAAGGTCAGGGGAATATAACAGATCGGATACAACAGACCGACTAAGTTTCATGACTTTTTCCTCTGTTATTCTTACTTTATGCGATTTTGCTATAATATCATCTTTCCTTTTGAGGAGCACAGGACAGTTTACGGCTAAAAATTTATGGACACGTTGCAGCTGATGGACGTATAAGTGTGCAATTACTGCTTCATTGCATTTTAAGAAATCTAAGTGAATATTATCCCGACGCTCCCATCACACGCATAGCGTTAGCTTTCTTCCATGTAGCTAAGCTTTTCAGGTCGGTTGTGGAGCGCTACCCTTGTCAATGCACACGCTGCCTTCTCTGTTTAACATT